AATATTGAGTGTAAGGAATTCAATGTCTACAAAAATCCAGTGTTTTAAATTCGGTGTTAAAAAGAGGCAGATTCCAATGAGACTGTTTTTCTTCCATACATTCTTTTATATTTTTTTTCTCCAGACTTTTTCAAAAGTTTCAAAAAAATTGTCAGAAAGCAGCCACCCACAGTTCTTAGGCTGCAGACCAAAACCAATAAATGTGTCAAAGAAATAAATGCTAAAGATCTTCAACATTCTTAAAGTTCATGGTATGATGACAATTTCTTTCAAACAGAATATACTGAAGGAAAACATCTATCCTTGTTCTTACAATAAAGGGCTCTTGGTTATTCAATCTGAAAAAGTCTCAAAGCCCTAAAACAAGTCCCCTTGACTGATAATAAATGTTATTTTGATGCTATTGTGGGACCTTAATCAGGCCTTTGCAACAAAAATATCATAAGAAAAGGATAGATTACAAGTGAAATATATATATAAAACTCAATAAAGATATTGTTGAAAAAAAGAAAAGGATACATTTCTTATATTCAAAACTTGTTTACACGACTAGATTTTATACAAATATATTACCAGGTCCCTTTCGACCAGATGGGAGACGGTTGATGGGAGGTCAGGAGGTTCTCATTGGGATGTCATTAACCACCTCTCTCTAGTTCCACTCACTATTCAACAGCATCAAAGTAGCACCTGTCACAAACCCCAAACAGCAACAAATGTTTAAAAATAACAGATTTTTAAAAATCCTGAGAATAAGATAGGGGTGTCTTGAAGATGCTGTTTATCATCCTGTTAACTGCAATAATCTCTCTCCACAGTTGGCCAACATCTATGGTAGTGTCTTCAGAGTTCGCTTTGGTTGGGATACAATGGTGATTTTAAATGGATATAAGATGGTAAAAGAGGCCCTTGTGATCCAAGCTGAGAACTTTGTGGACCGNTGCTGTGGCTGACAGGCTTTACTCTGAGCCCTCAGGTGCAGAAACATTCTTGCTTTGCTGAAAATATATATTTGATATGCAACTTTAATGTTGTCATCTCTGCATACCTGTATGTAGACGGTATCGTTGTGAGCAATGGTGAAAAATGGAAGCGACAGAGACGTTTTGCTTTATCTACATTACGCAACTTTGGCCTGGGCAAAAACACACTGGAGCAGAGCATCTGTGAGGAGATCCGACACCTCCAGGAGGAAATAGAGAGTGAGAATGGTGAGTTATATTCAATGTAAAATGCTTGTGTTAATGTGAATGTCATGTTTGCCTTAAGGTGTCTGGCCCACATGCAGAAAACACTCGGAAAAAGATCAGGTCTAGATTCAAAGGTTTATAACTAAAGAAAAACTCAGGACCTCAGGACTAATGAGCTCGAGTGGGGGCGCCGAACAAGGGAACCGGATCAGTCTAAGGAGAAGGAAAAATGTTAAGCCCCAAAGGTGAAGACCAAGTGGGGAAAATTACAGAGGGACGTGAGCCTACCACAGAGCACAGACAATCCGACCGTGGAGGAATACTGTGTGGACTCAGCTCTTGCCTGAAGATGGTGACAGGTGTCCGGGAAACCAGAGAGCGGGGGCAGGAGTGGGACCAAGCAGCACCGGGGAATCCGGGGATCCAGAACAGCGGGAGGAACCAGGATATCGGTGGGGAAGCCCTGTGTCCAGGGCCGGAGAAACTGACTCAGAGAGAACCAGAGGAACCCGGGAGACAATCGTCTAGGGGGAGACTCAGAGGCACGAGTGGAGGACAAGGAGGGCACCTAGGAGACACAGAAAGCAGGCTTTGAATAGGAGCAAGGTAAGCAAGCTAGAGACCGCAACCGATTTGGCATACCAACAACGGTAACACTCTGGCGTCCTCCCGCTGTCCATGCGCTGTTAATATAGAGCAGGGCCGGTGCTGCAAAACTACCTGCAGGTGTGCGCACCCCGCCCACCAGTCAGACGACAGACACCTGTGAGGGAAGCAGAGATGGCAGGACCGGCAGCAAGGTGGTTCTCTTTTTAAATCAGGCTTTTCTCTCCTTCAGGTAAACCGTTCAGCCCTGCTGGTCTGTTCAACAATGCAGTGGCCAACATTATTTGCCAGCTTGTTATGGGAAAACGATACGAATACACAGACCACAGGTTTCAAATCATGCTGAAGCACATGTCTGAGGTGATGTGGCTGGAGGGGAGCATATGGGGTGAAGTAAGTTGATGAGCACTAATGGTGCCTCAAATAAGAGAAGAGGATTTCAGAGGTTTATTAGGAATGTGGAAAATGTAACCTTTTTACATTGCTGTTTGTTTATTTCTTGGAACAGCTCTATCAGGCATTCCCCAGTGTGATGAAATACCTGCCAGGTCCACACAACAAAATTTTCACTATTTATGACAGCATACTGAATTTCCTACATGAGGAAGTTGAAAATCACAAGAAGGATTTGGACCACAACAACCCAAGAGACTACATGGACGCTTTTCTCATTGAAATGGAGAATGTAAGCATCTGACTTTTGTTTCTTTTAAAGCACAACCAGTTCTGTTAGGCATCATTAACCAACATGTCTTCTGTACATTTCTGCTTAGCAAAAACAGTCCAACCTGGGCTTCACAGAGTGCAACCTGGCTTTCTGCTCTCTTGACCTCTTCATAGCTGGAACCGAGACAACAGCCACCACACTGCAGTGGGCTTTAATCTTTCTCATTAAAAACCCTCATGTTCAAGGTTGGTGATACATTATTAAGTAATCAATGCCTGTTTGTTTGATTTTCCAAATACAAAATAACTACAAAACTCTAAGCCTAGTGAAACAGATGTCAGTTTCATTGTAATGAATAACTTAGGAATAAAATAGCATTTAGGTCTGATACCAGACCCAAACTTGATGTGGTCATCAAGTTAGTTAATCAAGGACTTTTCATACTTATACTAGTATATATTTCAGGTATTAGTTGCCTTTTTTCAGTTTGACCAAGTAGTTGTCATGGTACTCCCTTAAAGTAAAATACACTGTGTATATATATATTTCTCAATATATATTATGTTCTTTTTTAATACATTTATTTGCTTATTTCAGATTGAAAAGAAAATAACATAATTACATTTAATTAAAAAAGACTATCAGACAGGTGGTGCGCCAGGGTTATCACTTTCATTGCAACAGGGGTTTCTTTTGGCCCTCTGACTCACATGTGTGTTAGACTCCTTGGTCCGTGTTTCGAGACGTGCCATTTGGGTAGCCAACATCGCAGCTGACCGCTTGTACCTGTTAATGTGGGCCGGTCCCTACTCTCACGTTGCGATGCAGTCAGGGTACACTAAAGAGTTTGGCCAGCATTTTAACAGGGTTGCCTCTGGAGTAAGCCTGCAGCCTGCCTGCAAAGTACCAGCGACCTGGAACTGTTTTATTCACCTCCAGGGTGGCCTGCTCTCCCAAATGCTATGCCCCCTTTTCCTCGGGTACGCCAGCGGTCAGATCCCCCTCTCCAAGCTGATCACTGCTTCAGGGCAAAAAATTTCTTTCTTTCTTTCATGAAAACCATATACTGATGTAAATAAATATGGTAATGAATTCACATGGGATCTGCTTACCCTTATCAAACAGGTGGAAACCCAACCTGCAATGAAACAGAACCATGGAACTTTTGGAGATTCAAAACTATACTACTTGTTTTGTGCAGGACTGGCCAGGAATCTGACCCATCTCTGCAGTCCCACATGAATGTGGGGATTGCCCTTATCCAAGCAATCTTGGAATGGATATTCTCTTCGTCCTTTCTCATAGGCCTCAGGCTAAGTTGAAACACTCTTTACTGCTCCAAATATTCATCCAGAGACTCATCAAACCCAGCCAGATCCCTCCGGGACCTTAAGCTTCCAGGCAGGGGAGCCGCCAGCTCCTCCACTGGCATCTCCTTGGCCTTAGATTCCTCCACTTCCCTCTCCGCAGGCATAGGTTCACTCCCTTCTGGAATGCATGTCCCCACCCTACTTTTCTTTAAGCCCAAGGTAAACTGGCTCAAGGGTCAATAGTCACTCCCTTTTTCATGCATCAGCTCTTTCTTCTTTGTCCCAGAGAGCTCAGAGTGACCCAGCTGCATGTGCTGATCCAGCCTCCCATGACTTTAGCACCATGATGCTACTGGAAACCTGGCATTTTTAATATTCTCCCACTCAAAGAAAAAGTGCCAACGCAAGCTTTCATTTGGTAGGGTTCAAAATACCATTGCTTCTCTTCAGATGCTGTGGCATGGTATCAGAAGAGCATGGCACAGATGGCAGACATTTAGATGATCCATAGCAAATAGCTCTGGAGTGACAAACATGCTGCAGTGTTGCTGCATTTGATAGCAGCCCGCTGATTACATTCTGGTGTGCCTATGACACACATAAGGCCATGAATCAGGCGCATCCAATGATAACTTCCAGGACGCCTCAACCCAACCAGAGCTCTAGACCCAACCAGCTTGGCCAAGGATGGTCAACCCTCCTCAAGCATAAAACCAGGGCCCCCACTCCTACAAAAATGCATGGTTCTTTTCACTTGGAACCAGACCTATGGGCCTCTAAAGAAGTCCTTAATATGCACAATTCTCAAGACCTGAACATGTTCCATGCCCCTACATTAAGAGTTTGAAAGAGGGGTAGGGGCACACATTCAGACACAGCCTTGGTTTCTTATTAGCTCCTCTTTGGTTGCCTTGGTACCCACACATTACTTCCTGATTATTAATTTTTTCCTTAGTAGCTACTCATTAGTTCCTGATTAGTTACTTAAATTCTTTGGTAACTAGACATTAGTTCCTGATGAGTTACTCTGTGTTTTCCATGTAATTATGCAGTAGTCCCTTTATAAGGATGGCCAGGGTGTTCTCCATTAAGTACTGGTTAACTACCTATTAGTTTCTTATTAGTTTTCTAGGCATTCTCTAGTAGCTAATAACATTTTCTGCACCTTATTGTAAAGCATTACCGCAGAGGAAGTGATTTGTTATGAGAAAAAGAGCAATGTGGATGAGAGCTTAGTGAGACGGCTTTGTATTACTTATAAGTCACTTGCAGCAAAACAGAATTAAAAAAATGGATACATAACAGGTCTGCCAGGCTCAGAGCAATTGCACCCTGTATTTAGGGCAGACAAATTTCTCAAAACTTTAATTATAAACGTAACTGCAGTGATAATGTTGGCGTCTAAGGCAGGAACCTCTGAAGGAGGAGACGACAGGTTGGTGACAACGTCTCTCTGGCAGAGGATGATAATTAAGGTGTGAGTCACAAACCTTGTCTTATAGTTTAGTACGAGCTCAGACGCCGAGGGCGCCTAACAGAGAGTCCCGGATCCTGATGTCACGGATCTTAGAGGACAGGCAGGGAATCAGAAACCGATTGGAGGAAGGAACGCAGGATAATCCAGAGGGTGAAGCCAAAGCCAATGTTGAAGAAGTACTCAGTAGTCAGAGCCACAGAGGCATAGCCAGAAAATGTTAATAGGGGTGGCCAGTCAAAAACCAACGTTAAATGAGGGGTGGCCCAAAGCGGATAGGCGCCAGAACCTCAGGATCTACCTAAACTGTTCCAACAGGAACAAGCACAACATCCATATTTTCTAAATAAAGCCAAACTATACTTTCCTAAAGCCTTTTGATTACAAATAGATGCATGTATTTAAACTTCCATGCTGTCTAAATGAAAGGTTTAGTGGACAAAACGTCTGTGGCAAACATCTTTTCCATTGTCATTACTTACCTACTTTTACCAAAATGTACAAATATCTAAATTAAATGGATTTTTAAGTCATTATTAAAGTAGTTATTTATCTATGATTTCACTGAAAACTCCTTGATGACTTGCAGAGACATACATTTCTCTTCACTCCATAAAACACAAAATCAGTGTCCTAAAAGAGCATGAATTCTGTACACATCATCTTTAATGCCAGTATTTTGATGTGCACAATTAGCCAAAGTGTTTTAGTTGTCAAGTAACTATTAATATATGACAAATGTAAATGTTTAATAAGTGCCAGTAAATCAGAGGTCCAAAGAGGTCAGAGGGGAAATCAGGGATGGTGTTGGGAAACAGTTCCAGGCTCGGTTCACAGGCAGAAATCCAGCAGGAGTCAGAAGACAGGTCAGGCATACAGATCAGAATGGGGACACGCAGGCTCGAAAATCCAGAAGCAGAACGGGTCAGGGTCAGTCAATCAGAACACAGAGATACGCTAGAGAACTCTCACCACAGGCTTGAATAATCTGGCACAGATGGCTGGTCTGAAGGCTGTTTAAATAGGATGAAAGTAACCCTAACAATAGGAAAAGGGATAGAAAAATAAGATTAAGAATATGCACAACTTGCTATAAATATAACTTTAGCTCTGTAATTACCTGTTACCCGTAGTAATATAATTATCAAAGAGACTTGTGAGGATAAAAGTTTTTGCTGTGGTGGAAAAGTATTTAGCTGGTGTTCTACCCAAGAGAATCATTGTGCTATGACTGACAGTATTTAGGCTTAGACTTGGACTTAGACAAAATTTATTGTCATTTTGTATACACTGAGTGTAAACAAAATGAAAATTTGTTTTGTACAGCTCTCAAGACATTGCCATTTCTTAAAGTACAGCAGAGATCAAATGTAAACATCAGATTGTGATAATTTACAGTTTTTCCAAAATTCAGCTGCCAGGTTTTTTTTTTTTTTTTACATTCATTTAATAGCTTTAATTAATTTTAATAAAGTGGGTTAGATTTTTTGTTAAATATTTTTATTTATTTATATAATTTTATTTTTTTATTTCATAGAGAAGGTCCATGCAGAAATTGATAAAGTGATCGGACGTTCCCGTCAACCCTCCATGGCTGATAGGGCCAACCTGCCTTATACTGACGCTGTAATCCATGAGATCCAGAGGATGGGAAACATTGTTCCACTGAATGCACTCAGAGTTGCTGCTAAGGATACAACTCTGGGTGGCTACCTTATTCCAAAGGTTAATTCACTGTACGAATAAGTGACAGAATTTGGTTGAAACTACTTTTCTATTTTAGCTTTTTATCATCTTCTGGATTGTGATGTTTCAGGGAACAACAGTGCTGCCCATGTTGACTTCTGTGCTGTTTGATAAAAATGAATGGGAAACTCCTGACACCTTCAATCCTGGACACTTCCTAGATGCTAATGGGAAGTTTGTGAAGAGAGAAGCATTCCTGCCCTTCTCTGCAGGTACAGCACACATTTCTGACTTAAGACTTCCATTAATTTCCAAGTAAAAAATACTAACTTTATATACACATGTAGCATAATTTCTATTTGGTATGTTTTTACCTGTCATAAAAATATGTTTTGGCAGTGAATTTTTCAATCCACTGATATTGAAAAAGATATAACAGATATAAAATATTTGTTATTTTAAAACAAACCTCAGAAAAATTAAAATAATGAAAATTCAAACATTCAAATATTGAAAAGTCCGACACTGAAATCAAACGCTAGAAATTTAAAACATGTAATGTCAGACATTGAACATAAAAAAAATCCCTTATGATAAAGCACCTATGATACTGTACTTTTATTTTATGCTCCTCTTATGTTGTCAATTAAAGATCCAGCAATTCCAGTTTAAAATTAAACTTAAATTATTATTAAACCAAACGGCATATTTATATCTCTCAAAATGACCATTTTGTAGAAGATAGCACAGAAGAAACTCTATTGTTTGTTTCTTGCTTCCTAGATGTTAGAGGCAAGTGTCCTTGCTTCAACAATGACTTAAAATGCACCATAAGAGAATTTCTCATCAAGAAATATTGTACAATGTTGCCATATTTTGCAAGCATCCCTCAGTGGGCTCACCACCTGCAGGGGGAACCATGAGGGACCTGTACGAAGACGATTAGGCCGAAGTCAGAAGCAGAGGCCTTGTCGACCCAATCCCTGCGTGCTTACTGAATCTGGGGACGTGGAATTTCACCTAGCTGAGGGTGAAAGATTCTGAGCTTGTGTGGGCCGTGGAGCGATAGAAATATTTGGGCTCTCCTCCACGCAAAGGGTGGGCTCTGGAACCCATCTCATCTCTGGAGTGGCCCGTAGTAAGAGAAGGAGAACGGGGCTGGGACTGCTTTTCTCCTCCCACCTTAGGCGTCTCATTTTGGAGATTATCCCAAATGTCCATCTGTGCACCTGGCACCCTAGGCAGGAGGTTAGTGATCGACTTTGTTTTTGTATCTTCTGATCTTCGGCTGCACCATCTGGTGAAGAGAATGGGGGGAGCTGTGCACCAACCACCACCTGGTGGTTAGCTGGGTGCCCTGGAAAAGGAGGAAACCAGACAGACTCCGTAGGCCCAAATGAGTAGTTAGGGTCTGCTGGGAATGTCTGGTAGAACCTCAGTCAGGGACGTTTTCAACTCCCATCTCCTGGAGAGCTTCTCCCAGATTCCGAGGGAGGCTGAAGACATGGAGTCTGAGTGGGCCATGTTCTCTTCCTTTATTGCCGATGTGGCTGCCCATAGCTGCGGCTGTAAGGTCTGTGGTGCCTGTTGTGGCGGCAATCCCTAAACTCGGTGGTGGACCCCGGTAGCAAGGGAAGCTATAAAGCTGTAGAAGGAATCCTATCGAGTCTGGTCGGCTCGTGATACTCCGTAGGCAGGAAATAGGTACTGTGAGGCCAATCATGCCACTGCCCGGCCAGTTGCAGAGTAAAAACCCGGGCCGGGGAAGAGTTTGGAGAGGCCATGGAGAAGGACTATTGGTTGGCTTTAAAGCAATTCTGGCAAACCGTCCCATGCCTCCAGAGGGGAAAGCAGTGCTCCCACTACTGTGGACCCTGAAATAGGACATACTTGGACGGCGGAAGGAATACTTTGAGGATCTCCTAAATCCGGTTGACACGCCTGCCGTGTTGGAAGAAGAGACGTGTCCTCGGGCCAGATTCACTCATCACTCATCACTCAGGCTGAAGTCTCAGAGGTGGCAAGCCTTCGGGGGTGGACGCCTTCGGGGGTGCCCCTAGATTGGCAGACTGGGTTGGTGGTTGCCCTGAATAAGTAAAGGGACAGGAAAGTGTTAGGGTTAGGGTTAGCGTGTCATGTCTCTCCCGCTCTCTCATACCCCCTTTCTTGACAGCCAACTGTCCATAAAACAGGCCACTAGTGCCGTAAATACTCAAAAAAAAATTATTAAATAAAAAAAAAAAAAAAATAGCTTGTAAAACTTTAATGTGTAATGTGGTTTCTCAACATGTTTGCTGCATTATCATTTGTTAATATGATGGATTCAAAAGGTTATGCTGACTGCTCTCCTTTCACTGAACAAATTCGGTGTGAGAAATTCTAGATTAAAAAGGTGCAGAAATAAACCTAAGTCCTAAACCTACTATATCTTTGTCGCCAAAGTTAATGTCTGGCCAAATATATATGATAATAATATAACAATATAATGTATATCTAAATGTGAAATACTTAATTAATGTTATTTTCTCTTTAGAATGATGACAAAAGGAAATCAAGAATATATGAGTTCCCAGTTGGGTTTTTTTAAAGCTTTGTTTCTGTGTTCTCTCTGCAGGAAAACGTGCGTGCCTTGGTGAAGGCCTCGTTAAGATGGAGTTGTTCCTGTTTTTTGTTGCCTTGCTGCAGAAGTTCTCTTTCTCTGTTCCCGAAGGAGTTGAACTGAGTACTGAAGGAATAACTGGAACTACACGTGTACCTCACCCCTTCAATGTGTCTGCAAAGACTCGTTGAGATACACATCGTTCCCATTTTTGCTCAAGGCATTAAAAAAATTGATATATATAAATCTTTTCAATTATATGATTCAGATTTCTTTTGTTTTTACACGTTTTCTAGGTGATGGTTGTACGTAACAATATATTACAATAGTAAATAACTAAATAACATATTTACTTTGTCTGTAATAAAATAAAATAAAAACACAAGATATCCATGCCTATTGAATGTCTGTAGGATTGAGAAGAAATTATAAGGTTGACCCCTCTGCTGCATTAACCTGTTTTACTTGGTTAATAAAAGTTTACTATGCTTCTACTGGTTGGCGTTCATATACTACCATGCCCAGTAATACTATAACCTACAAATTGAGTCTGGGAGTCTGAGAGCAAGAAATCTTGGGTAAAAGAATGAAAAATAAACAAAACAATTCAAAAAAACATTTAAATACTCTTCTTCTTGATGAAAAAATTAATAAAACTTGCCAAGTAAAAAAATATAAAGACATTTTCTTTGTTTAATTTGATCTGTGCACCACTGTTTTAAAGGTGTTTTATTTTTATGTTTTAAGGTATTTTTACATTGATTAGAAATGCAGAGTAATCACTTGTCATGATAAGAACAGTTGGACCCAGTAGGCAGAATTCTCAAAACCTTTATTTGACGGTTCTGCAGTGAACAGCGTGAGCGTCTAAGGCAGGAATCTGTGCAGGAAAAGAACACAGGTTAGTGACCACATCTAACTGATGGAGAATGAGTATGAACATGTGAGTCACTGACCTGGTCTTATAGTTCAGTCCATGCCTTGAGTATGAGGTTTTTTCCAGCCGGTCGGCTTTCAATAAGACGCGATGGGCAACGCCCAGACAGTCTGGGCGTCAGAGCTCTCTGTTCTCTGTGGCGTTCAGTGAGACGTAGATCTATCTGGTTGGAAAGGTCCTCCAGCTGCTTCAAGGTCCAAGGGTAGTCACAAGTTTGAAGTTCATCCTTAATTCTTTCTTTAAGGCCCAATTTGATAATGTCCATGAGGGCTGCCTCATTCCAGGTATGCTCAGAGGATAAAAGGTGGAAGTCAGTAATATACTCCCCCACAGATCGATCACCCTGCCTAAATGAAAACGGTCCCTTGGAAGCCTCTCGACTGGGAAGAACTGGGCAAAAAACAGGGATTAGTTTACTAGAAAAAGGTGTTTCACAACCTAGAATGGTTGTGCCATTCAGAAGCTCTGCACAGCTTTGCTTTACTGGCTGATAGTGAAATTACATACGCTACCTTAACCCTACTAGTAGGATATGCAGAGGGCTGAGGCTCGAAATGAATTTCACATTGGATGAGAAAAGCCTGACACTGATCATGATCATCCTTAAACAGTTCAGAGGATGAGAGAAGCATCTCCAGACAAACTGGTCTGACAGCAGGTAACATAGCACGGAAATAGCCTGACTGGTAATCAATAGCCTGGTAATCAAGAATCTCCTGCATGCCTGACTCAAGTCCAGAAATAAATTTTTCAACTTCAGAATGCCACTCTCTGTCTACCTATGGATCCATGGTTAGGCCAGATAATTCTGTAACAATCAGAATAGTAGGACCCAGTTTTCGACACAGACAGGCAGATTTTTTTAAAAATGTTATTTGAAACGGATCTGCAGTGAACAGCTAGGGTGTCTAGCAAGAACCTCTGCAGGAAGAAAAAACAGGTTATTGACCATGTCCATCTGACAGAGGATGATTATGAATGTGTTAGTCAATAACCTGGTGTTATAGTTAAGTCCATTCCCAGAGGATGAGGTTGGGTCCAGATGGTTGGCTGTCAACAAGACATGGTGTGCGCCACTCAGAGAATCCCAGACGCTGAAGCCCGGGAGGTTGGAGAACAGGCAGGAATGAGAACCGAACAGACGAAAGAAGGCAGGATAATCCAGAGGCTGGAGCCAAAGCTGGTGTAGAAGATATGCTCAGGGGTCAGAGCCAGGAGGTCAGAGACTTGAAGAGGTACCGAAGGGAAATCCAGGACGGTGTCAGGAATCACTTCCAGGTTTGGTATACAGACAGTAATCCAGCAGGAGTCTGAGGACAGGTCAAGCAACCACATCAGAAGAGGAACAGGCAGGCTCAGAGGTCCAGAGCACAAATGGGTCAGGATGAGCCAATTGGAAAACAATCAGGTTTGCTAGAGAAACTCTTACCAAATGCTTGAATAATCAGGCACTGATGACTGGTTGAAGGCTGGTTAAATAGAGGCTGAAGCAGGGAAGCAGGTGGATATGATGAGCGGTAATGAGAAACTCGGCGGAGCTAAGCAGGTGAATGAAATTAGTAATCAATCCAGTCATCAGCACCAGGATCATGACAATTTCATCCTTAGCAGGATACAAGTTCAGATTGCAAACAACCTTATCACATAGAAAACACAGGTAATGTGACATCTTGCAGGAACATTAAGGAGTAGGAAAGGTGTGTATCATATCTGAGCAGTGTCTGTTTGGAAGCTGAGGTGGAAGCATTTCTTGCAAGAAGGATGTTCAAATGTATTTAGGGAGATAGAGCTCTCTCTGACTGAGGCATTTCAATACATATACATATATATATATATATATATATATATATATATATATATATATATATATATATATATATATATATACCTCACACACACACACATTCCTAGGGGAACGAACCCACCCCATGCATAAAGATCTTTCTCACACTTGAACATTTGGTTTTTCCCAAGAAAAAAGACTTCAATTCATCAAGGACATACATTTTTTAGCCAGATAAACATTCAAGACAGGTCTCCCTGTCCACAGCATGAAGGAGGCTGTATGAACTCATTATCTCTCGTGATCTTCCCTTCACCCTTGTCTAGAGTAGGGAACCATCTGCTTTCTGTCCCCCCTACTTTAAACTTACAGCATAGTGACTGGTACAAGATATTCTCTGAAATCTCCTTTACAGACTTGCACACTCCAAACATATTATCTCATAAAATAGGCCAAGGAAACATTTTTCACTATTCCTCCCTTTTGTTCCCTAACGGAACAATTACAAAAAAAACGTAAGTAATGTACAATGCATAAAAATATAGATGTGTTATAAGAGTAGCAAAATAAAAAAAAAAATAAAAAAGATCAGAAGAAATAAAGCAACACTATTAAGAATGGCTTTAGGATGAAGTAACACACTTCCACTGTTAATATGTATTATTTACTGTATGTTTACCTGAATTTGGAATAGTTCAAATATCTCACAGAGGACATAATAATCAGAGATTTTACGTAAGTAAGAATAGCGATACTTTACAAGACAAGTACTTAAGTAAAAAGTACAACACAGTAACTCTAATCCTAAAAGTATTTTTTTTTTTCAAATTGCTACTCAAATAAATCTAACGGAGTAAATGTAACCAATTGCTACCCCCCTCTGTTTGCTACCATGTTCTATTAATGAAATGGCAGAAAATCCATTGATTTCATTTTGAAGTTGGGAGGAGTTTAATTATAAAAAAAAATAATACTTCACAAGGCCCACCAAAAGA